TATATATATACACGCGCGCTATCACACACCAAGTCCTTGCAGAACTTCTTATTTCATGCTTAGAAGCAAGAGAGAAAAAAGAGAATGATATGAAGGACGTGAGCCTTTCTAATCGGCTATTAATAATATAGTAACTCTTATTTGGTTCAAAGAAGTCCTTTGGTTATATATATTTCAAGTCAAAGACATTGGATTATATTATACGTACATGTAATTTCGAGATAATTGACTTTGGTTCTCCCTAAAATACTTGAGTAATTGGCTTCTCTCTTGTGTATATAGGATGCGACGGACATAGCAGTGGATGATGCAGACTTCTTTATTGGAGAAGTATCTGTAGCAAGAAGAATGGATTTGGCGTTAGACTATTCTGCTCCACGAGCAAACAACCAGCATAACCCAAAGCCTTGAATATATATATATATTTTAATTAATTACCTGTAATTGATGTCTTGTTTTTAATAATTCATTGTTGGTTTGATATTTTTCACGTATGTAATAAAGAATTTAATTGCGGAGGTTTTGGTCCAGTTCCCTTTTGTATCATGTTATTATTCTATCAATTAATGTGAATTTTTTGAATCTTTTTTAACAAGTGGTATACTGCATGCAATAAGTTTATATCATAGAGTTTGAGGGTATGCCTAGTTTTTCTCTCAAATTCGTTTCAAAACTCTAGTCGATCCCCTCAACATTTCGTTTATCGATTTTCTTGTTGTTTTATCTATAAAAAGTGGTTGTACATGTTATAACGGCGGGGAGAGGCGGATTCAGAATTTGAAATTTATGGGTTCCTGCTGCAATCTCAAATTAATATACCATAATAATTGGGTTCACCGTTAAATATTTAATAAATTTTTAATAAAAATATAGGGTCTACGCAAAAGTTACTGGGTTCCCGAAAACCCATACACTATACTCCAGATGCCTCTGACCGTTGGTGATTGTAATTATTATGTTGAGAGAAGAGTGGGTTGCTGGCAATAGTTGAATTTACTCTACTGAAAAGTATGCTTGCAGAGAGTAGTTCATAAATTTAAAGTCCATAACCACTTTGACTAATAAAAGCAGCAATTTCAATGCTTGTTTACAACCAACAATTTTGTTTCGTTAGTCGGAGAAAACAGGTGAAACAACCTATTTGCATGTTTAAGCAAGTGCATTTATTTAGTTTAGAGTCACTACACTTCATAGCAAGGGTCATGCATGAGTCACCAACTTAGATTCATGAACTAGGTATATACAAGAATTATAATCCACGGATCATAACATAATGTGTATAACAACAACAAAACCCAGTGAATCCCCATCAGTGGAATCTAAGGAGGGTAAAGTGTAAGCAAGTTTATCCTTGTCCTAGAAAGGTAGAGATGTTGTTTCCGATAGATCCTTGGCTAAAAAAACGCAGAAAAGAAGCAGTGTCAACAAGTAATAACAACAACAAGATATTAAAGAAGCGAAGCAAAGATAACAATTAAACAATAGGTAGTACTAGCAATCTAAAGATAAAAAGATACCATACTAACATTAATGCTACCGGCTAGAGAAAGACAAAGGGACACGCTCGACTACCTACTAACCTTCTATCCTAATCATCGACCTTTACACCGTACTAACAAGGGCTATGTACTTGGTAAGCTTCAGCTGCGCCATGTCCTGCTTAGTCACCTCTTTCTCCATACTTCTTAGGCCTACATCTACCACTCCTCATACCCACCAAAGCCAACCTCTCACACCTCCTAACCGGAACATTTGTACTTTTCCTTTTTACATGTCTGACCATCTCAACCTCGCCTCTCGCATCTTATCCTCCACGGGAGTCATTCCCACCTTATCCTGAATAACTTCATTCTTAATCTTATCTAACCTGGTATGTCCGTACATCCATCTCAACATTCTTATTTCAAATACTTTCAACCACAGTACATGAAAGTTTTTGACTAGCCAACACTCTGTCCCATACAATATAGTAGGTCTAACCACCACTATGTATAACTTACCTTTAAATCTTAGTGTCATATTCTTATCACACAAGACACCAGCAGCGAGCTTCCATTTTATTTACCCTGCTCTGATACAATGTGTGACGACATCCTCATCAATCTCCCTATTTCCTTATATAATAGACCCAAGGTACTTGAAACTTCCTCTTTTGGTGATGACTTGTGCATCAAACCTCACATCCATGTCCGCTTCCTAGATAACATCGCTGAACTTGTATTCTAAATACTCTGTCTTGGTCCTGCTCAACTTGAAACCTTTAGACTCAAGGGTCTGTCTTTAAACCTCCAACCTCTCATTAACACCACCTCGCGTCTCGTCAATCAGAACTATATTATCTGCAAATAGCATACACCATGACACCTCTTCTTGAATGTGTTGCGTCAACGCGTCCATCGCCAAGAAAAATAAAAATGAACTAAGGGATGATTCTCTAGTGCAACCCATCACAACCGAGAAGTATTTTGAGTCTTCCCCGCAGTCCTTACCTGAGCCTTAGCTCCATCATACATGTCCTTAATCACCCTAATATAAGCTACAAACACACCTTTAGTCTCCAAACATCTCCAAAGAACCTCTCTCGGGACTTTGTCGTAATCTTTCTCTAGGTCAATGAATACCATATGCAAGCCCTTCTTTATTTTTCTATACCGCTCTACCAATCTCCTCACAAGGTGAATGGCCTCCATTGTCGACCGACCCAGCATTAAACCAAACTGGTTCTCGAAAATAGAAACACACCTCCTCACCCTCTCTTCTACCACCCTCTTCCAAACTTTCATTGTATGGATTAACAACTAGATATCGCTATAATTGTTATAATTTTGGATATTCTCCTTGTTCTTGTACAACAAAATCATCGTACTCCACCTCCATTCCTCGGGCATTTTCTTCATCTTAAAAATGACGTTAAACAAACCTATGAGCAACTCCAAGCCTGTCCCACCCATGTTTTTCTAGAATTCTACAGGGATTTTGTCTGGACCGGTCGCTCTACCCCTGCTCATCCTACACATAGCCACCTTGACCTCCTCAACTCTTTTGCGCTTATAGTGTCTAAAGTCATGACGACTCTCGGAGTATTCTAAATCACCCAACACAATGTTCATATCCCCCTCTTTATTCAAGAGCTTATGGAAGTATGTTCGTCACCTTCGCTTAATCTGCGCCTCCTCCATCAAAACTCTACCCTCCTCGTCTTTGATGTGCACTCGATCTAGATCATGGACCTTCCTTTCTCTCACCTTGACTAACCTATACAGCTTCTCGTCCGTGCCTTTTTTCTCCTAGTCCTTCGTATGGATCATAATATAATGTGTAATAATTAAAAACATATGTGCACTCTTTCTTGAATATTTGGTCTCATCATTTAAAGTTCGGAAATACCATGAATGGTAACAAAAAAAATAATTCTACTTGATTCTATTTATATCAAACAATAGAAATGTTGGTATTAATAAAGATCTATTTGAATCTAATATATTTATCAAACCAAAATAACAAGATGAATTAATAAGAATATGTATTAACTAATTGTTAGAATATTAGCATTTTAATATTAAAATAAAATATGCCATGAGCTCTTCTTAATTACCTCATAAACTTGAAAATGACCATAACTTCCCACAACTCCATAATGTAGAAAATGGTCATAACTCTTTTGTAACTACTCTTCCATGTTTTGCCGCTAAGTCATACGACATGATTAGACTGTTGTATCCCGGGGGAGACAAGTCAAGATGATTACTGCTAGACCAGTGAAGACTTTGCTGCAATAAGCTTGAATCTCCTTAAAGAGAGCGAGATATTCGCGCTTCAACCTGAAGATATTTTATTTTTTTCATTTTATTTTTCAACTGTAGTTGTATTTTCACTAATACTAATCTTACCTATGCACTTGTAATTAAATTACTATTTATCGAGTATTCGTACTTGAGTACGTACGAATTAAATATGTTACTGTATATTTAGGGTGTGTTTGGTATAACGGAAAATGTTTTTCGTGGAAAATATTTTCTTGGAAAACAAGTTGTAATCTTACTCATTTTTGATGTTTGGTACGCAAATTAAGAAAAATAACTTCTCAAGAGTATTTGTAAATAATTTAGATACAATAAACATGAAGCCATAAACTTTCGAACCAACAACCTTCCGAACTCACAAATTTCATAAACTTCTCGACCGCTAAACTTTCGAACTCGTAAACTCTATAATTTCTAAACTCGCAAACTTTCAAATACATAAACGTCCAAACTCATAACTTTGGAACTTGTAAAAATTCGAACTTGTAAACTGAAAAATGAAAAAACAAGAAGTGAGAATATAAAAAATAAAAAAATATTACTGGAGGTGAGAGGTGAGGGTGGTGCAGAAAAACGAAAAAATAGAAAACAGAAAACATAAATTGAAAATACAAAAAAAAAAGTAAAAGAAAAATTGCGGGGGAGGTGTTGACGGGGTTGGGGTGGTGAGTGATGCGGAAAAAACGGAAAAAAACAGAAAATTGAAGTTGGAAGAATTGGGATTAGATGTGAAGCTAGGTAGAGTTTTTGAAAAATATTTTTTTAATTTTTTCTAAGAAAGTTATTTTTCTCCGATTTTAAAAAAATATGATATTTAGAAAAATATTTTTCAAATTATTTTGTGCGTGAAAAATGGAAATGTTTTCCGTCAAACGTACCCTAAATATTTTGAGTTCTTGAAAACTAAAAAAAGACGAATTGCTTCTTTCAACGAAAACACTTTCACTTTTTCCGAAGTAAGTTTTCACTTTTTCTAGAAACGAAAAAAATAAATAAATTACTGTACCTTCTTTTTTTGAAACAAACGCCATCAAAGGCGATCTCTGTCGTCATTTGGAAACTAGTCGGTTGATTTATTTTTGGTGAATTCTGTCAATTGCACGTTAAAACTTTCCGTCTGTGAAGCTTTGTCTCTTCCATCTCTTTCCCCGGCGAACTCCTCGGCGACTCTCTTTCTCCGGCAACATCCACCTGTAAATTCCTCTCTCTCTCTCTCTCTCTCTCTCTCTCTCTCTAGATTTTCCCCTTTCAAATTGATTCATAATCGTAAAATGAAAATGAAGAATTGATCTTTGAATTTTATGCTTTTATGTCTCCACTGCATGGATAAAGCCTCAATTCCGATAAATTAATTTGTGATAGTGTAATAATGTGTTTTTGGAGAGAGTACTATTTTTTTTGTGTGTGTGTGTGTGTGTGAAGAAAATGGAACAAAATAATTAAGGCCTCGAAATAAAATGTATACGTCATGAATTTCAAATCATTTACCAAATCCTTCTAACTAGTCATGCAACATATTTCAACTTCTGATAACTGGAAATCATTTGATTTGAAATACCATGTTGATTTAAACCATTTTATACAAATTGGTCTTTGATTTAATGCCTGGTATGTTGGATAACTTATGATTTTCTTCAGCAACAAATATTATCTAAAGGACTAATACTCCTTATGTTCCAATTTATGCGGCTTGCTTGACTCGGTACTAAATTTAAGAAAGAAAAGAAAGACTTTTGGTATTACAAATGCATAAGCTATAAAAACTTCTCCTTAAGGATAAAATGCGAAGTTTGAAGTTAAATTGTTTTCAAACATAGAAGCGTGTCATTTTTTTGGGAACAAACTTATAAGGACTATACTTTCTTTTTGGGAATTGAAACCTGCTAATACTTAACCCTAAGTGGAGCCAGCCAAGGATGTGATCAGTCTACATTGTTCTAGATTTTGTTGGTTTTTACTTTTCGGTTTGCCAGCTCAGGAATTGATTACGAAACTTTAGGCATCTATTCTTTTTATCTTGCCTGTCAATATCTGGTGTCTGTGTTTGTTTTATCTTTTCTTTAAAGTGACATCTTATTTATAGATTCATTAGAAAGTAACTCTTCTTGATGGCTTGATGTAATCAGAGAACTGATTGGATGTTTATGTGTAACTCGCTTGTTCTTAATTATTACAATTTTTTTGTTTTCTCCTGCATTCGCGCTGCAGTTGCTGTTTACACCTGACGAATAATGGGAGGGCAGAAGAATTATTCACCTCCACCTTATATTCCTTTGGATCAGTCAGATGCAGAAGCACACCATGTTTCTGCTGCAGAAAAAAATCAACAGAGCAAAAATGAAGACTCGGCTCAGTGGAGTTCTGGAATCTGTGCTTGTTTTGATGATCCACAGAGCTGTACGCTACTCTCTGCCCTGTGATCTTGCTTTATGACAAGAGAAAAAAGTGAATGAAAGGTGCATCTTTGGGTAGTAAAATAAGAGTCATGATTAATTATTCTCTTGTCTTATTAGGTGGCGATTATCATAAAACTCTGAGTACCTTTATATGCCTAGGACACCTTTGCCCACTTTACTTAGTAAGATGACTAATAGCCACACAAATATCTATGACTCATTTTAGACCACAAGTTTCAAAAGTTTTATTTCTTTCTTAAACTCCGTGCCTAGTCAAACACTTTCACATAAATTGGGGCGGATGAAGTACTTTTCAATATTGAGGTAGCCTTAACTTCGTTTACTCCTTGGAGGCTTGGACTTAAATACAACAGCTATTACGCCTCAATTCCAAGCTAGCGGGGTTTGGCAATGTGAATACTCACTATCCATTTCACTCCATTTATAGCCGTTTAATTTCAATATTCAATTATTGGGAGGCATGCCTGGGTGAGCATGTCCCAATGTATTCAGTACTATTCATCATAATTGACTAGCTTTTGCTAGTCGTTAACCTACTGCAGCCCTCATCTTTTATTCTGGTTTGGGACCTACTATTTGAGCAAGCTCACACAGACGAAGTTCTTGGACTTAGATTTTATCTTGCTAGTGCTGGAACGGTAGGCGAAAGATACAGTTGTAGTATAGGCATAGCCATTTTGCTCTAGGTGTTTACCATGGGCCTGAAGATGCACATTTGAACTCTGCCAGAGGCCTGCACTCAACATTAGTCTTATGCTGGATGTATGTGCATGGATGCTTGTGTGTTGGTGTAAAACATGAATTAGTACAACCTTTAGCTGTCTTAGTCCTATACATTAAGGCGTAGTTGATTGATATATTCCTTATCAAAAACTTAAAAATAGGAAAAATGCTGATTGATATGCTCCATACAGTTCTGGCCTCTGGGAAACACTCATGCATTTCTGTTCCCAACACTGCTCCCGTTCTATTTCCAGATGTTTTTCTATTCCTCTCTCCCTTGTGGTCTCACTGTTTGTCATTGTCGTGAAGTAATAATACAATTGCCAGAATTTCCAGAAACTGGTTTCAGCAGTGCTGATGGGCCTAGATCAACTTTTTCAACATATAATAAGATCAACAAAACAAGTGATAATGGATGTGTGATTGGGGAAGTTCTCTATCTTTGGAGGGCTAATTATGTTTGTTTTCGGATTTAAAATATCAACAACTGTTTCTGAGTTCTCTGGTGCCTGATGAATTATAGTATTTGTTGGTGGACAACCTTGAGTTATTTGCTAAATGCAAAATTTTGAGTGCAGGTTTTATTGGACTTCTTTGCCCTTGCTTTCTATTTGGGAAAAACGCGGAGTTCTTGGGGTCGGGAACCTTGGTGGGATCATGTACGACTCACTTTATTTTGTGGGCGCTTTTCAACACAATTTGCTGCTTCTTAACTGAAGGCATTCTTTTGGGTTTGCCTGGATGCTTTGTTGCATGTTATGCCTGTGGCTATCGAAGGACATTGAGATCAAAGTACAATCTTCAGGTAGCCATCTCTGTGGTTTTGCTATTTTTGTCCACATGGATAAGATCTGATTTAGCATATCATCACTAGCTCTATTGATTCAACGGGAAAGACATATATGGAAGATATGAGTGAAGTTAGATTGCTTGAAAATTTACCTTCAAGATAACCTCTCACATTTTCAGTGTTATATACATATTTTGCAAAGCAAATTACCCCTTGACATATGCATGGGTGGCTAGTCTGTTTTGCATGATTTGAAGTATACACCTTTTGAGGATGTTTCTTTACCTTGATGCATGTCTCTTAATGTTGCAAAGAGGACATAAGAATGCACTTGTAATAATAAAATGATACTACACAAANAAAAAAAAAAAAAAAAAAAAGGGCAGCCCGGTGCACTACCTTGCATTACCCTGCATTTGTGCAAGAGGCTATTTCCACAGCTTGAACCCGTGACCTCCTGGTCATATGGCAGCAACTTTACCAGTTACACCAAAGCTCCCCTTCTACACAAAACAAAAAGAAAGAAACAGTTGTGCTCCCCAAAAAGGATTCGGACTCCCGTTATGGTGTTAAATTATCTCAATATTGATGGCTGTATAAAGAGACTTTTATGATGGGAGAGTTTAAGTAACCGTTCCATTAGGAAGAAAAAAAATTTGAATTGTCTTAGAATTCCACTTACGTTCTTTAGGATCAGATGTTATCCATAGAAGCTACAAAAGATTAAAAAGTTACTATTTGTAATTCATAATCGACTCCATGGAAGAGAAGATTACACATTATTTGAACAAGTACCTTCCGCTAGATAAAACTATCAAGAACTTGAAATTAGGACTCCCTGTAGATAAAGAACTGACCTGTAGTTCCCTATTCTGTTTGGTTTAAATTGAAAATGTGTCCAAGTTGGAATATTAGTATTGATTTATCAATTGAGTACACTGCAGTCTATACATTTAACCACCGTTGCATTTTTCTTTCTTTACCGTGAATTCCTCACCTTCCTCTCTTCCCTTGGCTCCCGTGCCCTGGCCCCTTCCTCTGCTCTGCGCTAGTATAATTTGGTTCCAAGACTGAAAAAGGACCACTTGTACCATATAACAGACAGATGCGAACTGCTTAGATTGGAATTCCTCGCACTTAATGTTTTTATGTCCTGATTTATATGCAGGAAGCCCCGTGTGGAGACTTCGCGACACACTTTTTCTGCCACTTGTGTGCCATATGCCAGGAATACAGAGAGATCCGTGAAAGGTCTGGCGATTCAAGCTCCTCTGATCTTAGCTTAGTGGCAGTGACAGCTCCTCAAGTTCAGAAGATGGAAACAACTCCTACAAACGAATAGATATTGCATTTCTAGTGTCCAGAAGATCATTTTTCAACGCTGCCATTTTCCATAAATTATTCCACCTTTGTTCATTTGGTTTTGGTATTTATCTTCCACGTCTAATCTAGGGGTCTGAACTATATAATTATGTTGTAATATCTTGGTGTTATTGAGGTGAGTAAATAGTTGTCTACTCACTCTGTATTTTTGTTGGTTGAGTTGGTATATACATACATGGAAGTTGTTATGGCATCTGTTTGGTAGGGTGAAGATTTTAGGAAACACAACTGCAAAAATTCTGTAGCAGAAAATTTGTTGTATAAGTTAATTTTTTATAATATTTACGTAGTTTATATGGTATTCTGTCATTAATCATAGAAACTGGTATTACCCTTAGTTGCTAAACAAAATGTATTTGTTGAAACAGCACCAAAAAAACAAAAGAAATGTTTAAAGCAAGCAACTAAAAACAAGCAAAGAGATCTTTTTCATGTTTCTTGTTTTGTCACTTACTCCCCAACTAAAACAGGAAGCGTAACTAGTTCGACATGAACCTTAAAAGTCAGGACTCGTGTTTAGAAAGATCAAGTGTTATGACTTGGCTATGAATTCAGACATTAGAATTTAGAAGAGTTTAAGTTTTATGTACTGACATCGTGAAATATTTCCACAATTTGACAGTGTAAATGTTTGACAAGAGTGAATTGCTCTAGTGGTAAGCACCTTCCACTCCCAACCAAGAGGTGGGGAGTTCTTGGAGGGAAGGAGCGAGCGTCTATTGGAAACAGCCGGATGGATGTATGCTTTTAGCAGCAGGTAAACTCACTACTTTCTGGTACTCTGAGTTGTATATATGTAGTTGGAAATTGTTACAAAAAAAATACATATTTAAACTAAATCCACGCGGTTTTGCTATTGCATGACAAGTTGGTTTGAAGGTTGTAGAGGTGTGAAATTGGAGAAGCATCACTACTAGAAGAATCCCTTTTCAATGCATCTTGAACTTGAGCAGCAAACTGCAAATTCCATATTACATCCTCTACTGAGGGCCTGTCTTCTGCATCTTGTAATAAACACCTACTGCATATCTCAATCATTGTCTTCAACGATTCGTCCGAGCATGAATTTCTAATTGTTGGATCAACCACAGTCTTTCTTGCAACTTCATTAGCCATTATGCTCTCTTGCAACTGCAAATATGATAAGCAGAGTAAAAAAGAGTGAATGAGCCATGTTAAGAGTCCTATTATAAGGGCCATATACTTTTTAGTATTCAGTCCAAGAATTAGGTGTGTTTGGTACGCTAGAAATTATTTTTGAGAAAATATTTTCGATGATAAAGTCATTTTCTGGTGTTTGGTTATCAGAAAATATTTTGTTGGGCTTTAAAGACCCTTAAATTGTTGGGAACTTTACATAACTGTCAAAGTTTAAAAGAAATATAACAAATTCTTAGCATGAAACCTAATATTACAGTTGTGGCAGGAAAATATTTATATTTGTAGTACACAGTTCCATTAAAATAGGAGTATTAATTATTAATCCCTAAACATAAGCAATTTGAACGGAAAGTCAATAATTCTTTGTACAAAAACCATGCCCTTTTTTTTCTCTCTTTATCTATTAGCTTTCCTTCTTTTTCTTCATATTCTTAAATTTGTTTTTTGCCGAAGCCAATATATTTTTTAAATTTGTTCCATTCGTTTTCTTTTTAATTATCTTTCTTAAGTTTTTCTCTTCCTTCTTTCTTCCTTTCTTAACATAAAGATCTTACTTCGATAATAATATATGTTAATATATACAAACCGTATATATAAAAAAATATACATTGAATTAACACATTTAAAATATACAAAAAATATATATAAAAAATATATCTTCAATTAAGATGACACTTAGACATGTGAAATATACATAAAAAAATATATCTTAAATTTAATTAAGATGGCATATAAATATACAAAAAAAATATACATAAAAAATACATCTTGAATTTAAATGGCACTTGACATATAAAATATATTTGAAATATACATTAAAAATACATCTTAAAATAAGATGGCACTTCACAAATAAATATACAACAATTATATACATATAAATACATTTTGAATTAAAGTGATACTTGATATACAAAGTATAAAAGACGTATAAATCAATACATCTTGAATTTAGGTGGCATTCACATATGCATCAGATTTTCAAAAATGGAGTGAAGATGAATGTTGGAAAGGGAGAATGGAGATGGACAAGAGAAGTACTTCCTATGATTAGTGAGTCAGTTAACTTATTAAATGTTGAGCTTAATTTTTATAATATGCTAATAATGAAAAAAAAAGTGCTCTTTATGGAATAAACAATAAATGATGCTATTTTTTAAAATAATAGTTAAAAAAGGATCAAGCGTGTAAAAAAACCTAAATCAATTGTTGGGCTTTAAAAGATGAGGCGGTGTGAGTGGGAAATGGAGGGAAAAAAGAATGGAGAGAAATTGAAAATTTGAGCAAAGTTCTTTTTGGATGAGAATTTTATCCCTCATAGGTGGTGGAAAGGGGGATTTATGTGCTTATATATAGAAGCACTTCTTCTAGCTCATACGGAGTTGGAAAGAGAGTCTCCCCTCGCGCTGTCATCCTCATTTCATATCAAGAGACAATCTTTTCCTAGTTTGGTTCTTTAGCTCAAGATGAAGGTTTGGAATTAAGAAGAGTGAAAAGGATGTGTTTGTCATACCTGATTTTGTATAACTTGCGCTTCATTCTTGGTATTTATCTGCCTCCCGCTAATTATTTCCAATAATATTACTCCAAAGTCAAATACATCCAACTTTTCTTCATAATTAGCCCTGTGATCAGTAGAGGTAATTGAGCAATGTGTATGTACAACTTTCTTTGCTCCTAAGTGAGATTAGGAAAATAAAGAGCTAACATATTCCTTAATCATGACTTACTATGGAACAGTTATGCATACCTTACACTCTTCAGCTCTTTAGAACCACTCGATAAATTTTGAAACTTTTCCTACGAATTTGCACAGATAGCGGAATCAGCCAATTTTGCAGGATAAACTTTTTTTGTATGTAAGAAATGACATATACAACTTTGTAAAGTCTATTATCTCACCTTTACATTCTCAGCCAGAATAGGCAAATTATAGCTGCATATTTTTGCAACAAGGTTCTGATCCAACACAATATCTGTTATCTTTATGTTATTTGAAAATATTCCAGGCACTATTCCAAACTGCAGAAACTGTATTCCCCTTGCTACTCCTATAGCGGTTGCTATACGTTGTGTCCAAGTTAGTCTTCGTTTAGCATGTTTATCTGCCGAACAGAAATAGGATACTGAGAAACTGAGAATATCAAATTCCTTATATTGATCTGCTAAGCACATTATTTAGCATATAAGTACAAATACTTGTTAAATAATTACCAGAGATCCATCTCCTTAGAGTCCCATTTGGTACATATTCGAAGACGAGAAATATCCTGCTAACACTTGAATCATCCAAGTAGCACTCGAAGCAGTGTCCAAGAGTGCTGACCAGATGATGATGTCTAAGTTTTGACATCAATTCGATATGATGCATAACATTTTGACTATTGTTGAATTGTTTCATTTTCAGGCATCTAATTGCAATGTATGAACCATCTTTCAGCTGACCTCTGTACATCTGAACCCCAAAAAAAAAAAAAAAAAAAG